GGGGGAGCATTTCCGCCAGTGAAATTTTTCCAAATCAACGCAGTCATCCGGTCTCTGACACTGGTCTTTGGGCAGCCATCATCTATCTAAAGCAAAATGTGGCAAGTGTTGCTTTGCTTTGTTTAGTTGCAAAGGAAAATCTTTTGTTCAGAGCTTTAGAAAAGTCAGTTCAGTCCACGTAATCCACTTCTTAAGTTTCTGAAAAGTAGCTGATGCTTCTTTGGTAGGGAAGTGCTGTCGAGGAACCCTTCTCTTGCGCCCTTTGCCACAAGCTTACATTACAGACAGGCTCCCAGGGTGTTACTCAACCTCAACGCACGGGGCAGGCTTCTTGGTGGATGAGTTTCCATTATCCGAGGGGCGGTAGGAAAGCGTGCTCATTTTTGTGGATAGACTGGAGTGGGACTTGGCCTTTGGAGGGATGTACTTCAGAAGCTGGAGAAAATATTTTTTAAATTTTTTCCCAAGAAAGCCATAGAAGAGAGGATTGAGGCAGTTGTTAAAATAAGCTATGCAGATAGTGATGGGCATGGCGGTGTCAACAATATCTGTGATTTTACAGTCATTTATGATGCCCAGCTGAATCAGAACATCCAGGAAAGTGAAAATTTGATGGGGAACCCAGGAGAAGAAAAAGAAAAGCACAATTGCCATGATTATCTTGAAAATATCATCATTTCTCTGCTTGCTCTTCTGAATTTCATAAGCCTTCTTTAGGGCCTTCCAAATAAGAGTGTAACTTGTAAGAATGATGAGAAAAGGAAACAGGAAACCCAGAATATTCTTGGTCAGGCCCAGCCCTGCGGGGAGGGTTGAATTTTGGAGTTCGTAATGGAAAGCACACACTGTGATGTTGGTGTTCTCAATGAAAAACACGTTTCGGTGGATGATAGTTGGCAAACTGGCCAAGCCAGCCAGCAGCCAGATAGTGATGCAGGTGACTTTGGCCACAAGCATTGTGCGCCGAAGGCGGGACTTCATTGGGTGAACGATAGCCAGGTAGCGATCGATGCTCAGACACGTGAGTAGAAACACACTGGCATAGAGGTTGAAGCTGACACTGGCCGACGCGATCTTACACAGGTAATTGCCGAAGGGCCAGCGGTATTCCATAGCAGTGTAGACGGCCCACAGTGGCAAAGTCAGTAAAAAGCATAAGTCAGCCAGCGCTAAATTCAAGAGAAAGACACTGGCCACGGTCTTCAGTTTCATGTAAAAGTAAATGACAATCACCACCAAGCTGTTTCCAAATATTCCCACCACAAAGATGATGCTGTATAAAGTAGGGATCATGACAAATATGTAATTGTGCCGTCCAGCTTTGGGACAGTCATCTTGGATTCTTTTAATACCATCGTCAGTGGAAGAGTTGAGGATCATTTTGACCTCCTGGGTTAATTAATCTCGGACACTAATGCCAAATGCACCTGGAAAAAGAAAAATGAAAAGGTGAAAACTAAGTAACTTTCAGTCATAAATGGTTTTATTTCTCAATCATAAGTACAGTAACTCAACTTTGGTTTTAGGAAAGAACTAGATCATATTTTCTGGAGAGAAACTATGAACTAATAAAGTGTAGATTACATATTTAAATTAATTTTGAGAGCATATTGCTTTTCTGGGAAGTGATAATATCCTCCAGACAAGTAGAAGTAGGGTCCTACATGAAGAAAATTATCTAGGTCCTTTGTTTTTTTTTCTAGAAGTAAATCCTAGCTTCCAAATTGATTTTAAAACATAATATAAACTTCAGAAAACACTACTGAATTAAATTAGTCATTCAGAAAAATGAGTTTTTATTGAGGTAAGCAAGGCCAATTATTTTTTGTCTAATGTCAGACGTGTGACACATCTGTATCTTATTTTTAAAAAAAATGTATCTTTATTGATTTTAGAGAGAAGAAAGGAGAGGGAGAGAGAGAGACAGAAACATCAATGATGAGAGAGTCATTGATCGGCTGCCTCCTGCACGCCCCCGACTGGGGATCGAGCCCACAACCCGGGCATGTGCCCTGACCGGGAATCGAACCCCGATCGCCTGGATCCTAGGTGGATGCTCAACCGCTGAGCCATACCTGGCCGGGCTGTATCTTATTTTTTAAACAATTTCATCTCACAGTCTTTACTTAGGTATAAAAATTATCAGCATCCTCCCTTAGGTGGACAGGCAATTGGTCACTGTGGGAATTGATGTAGGAGGGGAGAGGGAGGGCTCAAGACTGTGGGGAAGAGCATTCTTCCCAAGGCTTTTCAGGCCACTATAGGCAGTAACCACATTCTTTAACTTCCAACTCAGTCTAGCACAAGGCTTTGGATTGCCTAACTTTTATGCCTGTCAGCCATTTCTGGAATTAACTTTAAGATTAGCCATCTGTATAACAAGGAGGTCAAATGAACAAATTAATCAGGATTATCAAGATGCCTTTTGTGGGAGCTTGAGCTAGCAGCAGTTCTTTAGGGTTTGGGGAAGAATTGGATGCTCAGAAAAGAGCTCCACTGAGACTTCTGCAAATATTTGCTCCAATAGTTTACATAATCAACAATTAAGCTATTCATTTATGTGATTTAGAAAATCAACCTATTCTGCCCTTGATAGGAGTCCATCAGAAGACCCTCGGGAGGTGCTGTGAGGGTAACATCCCCGGAGGTGGCACAGGCACGCTCGGGAAAGTCAGCATGGGGCCGGGCAAGGTTGGCCGGGCAGAGCAGGGGCGCCGGGCCAAGGTCCTGCCGCTACACCGGGAGCAGGTGCCGAGGTGAGCGTGGCTGCGAGCTTGCCTTGCAGCAGAGTGTGCTGGGCAAGACGAGGGACAGGAATAAGACACTACTTGTCTGCCCGGGGAGCCGGGCGTGGCACCCGGAGAGGGGATGAACACGTGTGCCTAAGGCGATAACATGTGGGTGCAAAGTGCTGCTGTGGAAAAGACTAGAGCGCAGAAGCCAGTCTAAGAGATGACCCTGGGAAGAGGGGCTCTCCGGGCTGCTCTGCTCCCCGCGGAGGCCTCGTTCTTCCCGTCCGATCCGGCTCCAGGTCCTCATTAACTTTCACTCGTCCTTACAAAATCCAAACCCCGTCTTCCCTTTTCTTTCACGAGGGCACTGGCATCACACTCAGGCAGCTGTCCCGCCCCTGTGGCGCCTCCCAGCGCTCCGGGGNCTCTCCGGGCTGCTCTGCTCCCCGCGGAGGCCTCGTTCTTCCCGTCCGATCCGGCTCCAGGTCCTCATTAACTTTCACTCGTCCTTACAAAATCCAAACCCCGTCTTCCCTTTTCTTTCACGAGGGCACTGGCCACACTCAGGCAGCTGTCCCGCCCCTGTGGCGCCTCCCAGCGCTCCGGGACAGCTGGCTGTCCCATTCCCTGAGCCCAGGCAGGTTTGACAGTCTTACGATGGCCTGTGGGCCTGTCTCTCCCCCCGTCTGTCGGCAGCTCCAGGGCCTGGGCCCGCCCGCCCGGGCGGCACGTGCCGCCTGATGAGGAGGGTGGGCGAGGGCACGAAGGCGGGTGAGCAGCAGGGAACTAAAAGCTGGCAGGACGGAGCCCTGAGGCTGACTCCGGGGGGCTATGGAAATCAGGCGACATGCTGCTTCCCGAGCAATCTCGGAGGAAATACTCAACGTCGACCTGGGCCTCACCTAGGATAAATCAAAACCAAACCGAACCAAACCAAACCAAAAGAGACAGACCAAAGAGAAATCAATAAATAAAAGCCCTTAGCACTTTCAGAAATCTGAAGTTTGCCAAACAAAAGATGAAAAGAAGGAATAATTTAATAAAATTTGGGGCTCTTAGGGAGGTATGACCTAGTTCCTCCTCACCCAGAAGGATTTCCTTACAATTTGCTGATTTTTCAGTTCATTTTATTATAATTACTAAAATTATGCCAAATTAGAAGTATAAATTCATTTAGGTAGACAAATATTCTCTATTAAAAATTAAACGCTACATTAAAGGTTCATGTGCCAGCAATCATTTATACCTTAATATGGATTAATTCACTTATTTGCTCTCCTAACATCTAGTTGAGATCAGTTGGATTTTGCCTAGGAAAAAATTGGAAATGTCAAGGTTAAAGAACCTCAAAGATTAGAAGCAGCCTGGGTGAGCTCTACAACTGAAACTAGGGCAGAGGTAAATATTTGTTTCAGCTTGGGACAAGGGCACTCAAAGATAGGAAGAAATAAACGATGCATTAGGATCCCCTGGGTGCCCTGAGCCTGGGTGCAGCAAGGCAATTCTCCCCTTTCTTCCCTCCTCTCTTGACCCTACTTTGAGGGACACAACTAAGGCTGGGTACATTAACCCCGTGTCTAGAGTGAGCGGACTTTTATTGACAAGGCTGGAACTGTAACCATCATTTATGAAAGAATTTCTATGGGAAAAAGTTTGCATTTGAGAGGACCAATTTATCAACATAGCTTTGGATCCCAATTCCTTCCCAGCCTGAGGTCAGCTCTCCTTCAGCTCTCACCAATCCTGATGGACTAATATTTAATGTGTGAAATGTTGTTCTGAACAGCTAGAGGAGCATCCCTGGAAATTTTAGTGAGGGATTTATTATTTTAATGAGTTTATCACTTGAGAAACTCTGGACATAGCATTGAATATGCTAATTAGAAGAAAAGTTTACAGAAATGTTTATATAAGTAATGACCAGGACTTCCTACCTGGTAAGGAAACAAGTGTCTAATACTTGAGGGTAGAGGAAAGAGAAGGATTCTCAGTGATGGGAACAGAAGATGGAAATAGCAGGAAGAGACACAGGGAAGCAGAAATGCAAATAGTGCCTTCAGTGAGCAGTTACCATTCATCATCCCATGTTCACTGACCACCTACTATGTGCTGGGGTCAGGGGTGTAAACTGAATAAAGTCACACTTCTCTATCATTTGTGTCTAGTTGGATACGCAGGAGCCCTAAACACAGAATGATCTCCAGTGTGTTGAATATTTAACCATGTAAGAGGCCTGTGGAATGTTCTGTGTTTACCATTGACCCAGGCTGGTGGTGGGGGTAGGGGAGAGATCAGGGATGCTTCCCAGGGAAGATGGCCCTTGGACTTTGGAAGACATGTGGCAAACAGAGTGGTTAGAACTTAAAGGCAACCAGCTGGCCAGCCAGGGTGGAGTAGAGATTGCGTCATCACTTGAACGTTTCCCTTCTTACCAGAGCCTGCAGCAGCACCCACGGGAAACAGCCCCTGCAATTTACAGGTGCTGCGCCATCCTCTGGGCAGGGGTCTGGGGAGTGAGGAGCACTGGCTGGGAGGGTGACACAGGCCCTACTGGTGTGAGAAACAAGAAATATGGTTCTCTGGTCTGCACCGTTCTTTTGTTATGGTGGTTGTTTTTGGCATAAGCGTTTGTAATGATCACTCACTTCTTTTTTCTTCCTACTTTTACCTTTTGGCCCCCTTCACCCATTTCTCCCACTGACTGGCTTCCTTAGCTGAGAGCTCTCGGAAAGAGGGCAAATGGAAGTCGGGACTGGCAGCCACCCGAGGCTGATGCCAAATGAGTGGGAAAGAGTGGCTTCTTTTGTCTTTGAAGCTGCAAGGAGCTGTGCTGGTGAGCTGAAGGAGGCAGAGATGTGTTGTGCTAGGGACCAAATCTGTGAGTCCTAGAAAGCAGCTACACTTCGGTTCCTTCTCCAGGCGGGGATAGGCAGGTGGGATATCTACAAAAACACAGAGGCTCCACCTCTCCCTCTTTCTAGCTTTTACACATTTTCTCTCGAAGGAAAGACGACAGAATTTGGAGTCAAAGTGCTTGTAATGGAATCTTCCTTTGCCACTTGCAAATCTGTCACCCTATGTCTCTGACCATGAGCCTCACTGTAAGAAGCTTTCCTCATCTGTAAGAAACAGAAACAAAGATCCCATTGCACATGCTTGTAGGGATTAAATGAGGAATGCACTGGGCATAGCTTTCAAATAGTGTTTAATAAATGTGTTTTATTGGAATTGTTGCTATTATCTTAATGGAAGGCAAATGCAGACTCAACTACAGGTCAAAAAAACATGAGCTATTTTTAAAAAGGGGGTTTGTTATTGATAAGCTCTTTCTCCTGCTGTTAAAAGGCTAAAAATACCAAGCTGTTGTTCTTTCAAAGTATGAGTAAAAAATAATCATAAGCAGCTGAATAAATTTGCCGTGAGTCAGGTGGGAACTTGCAGTCTGCTGCCAACACAAGGTTGGCCCGTGGGGCCGCACCACATGGACCCACCCACTGCTTGATTTTCTAGGAGTTGCCTGGTGTTCCCTGACACTTCCTCTGGCTCTTAAAAACAAGCATATGGGAGGAAATTTTTTTTAAATTCTAAGAATATTTCCTTAAGACTTTTGATTAGAATATTAATACCTTCTTCAGCTTTTAAGGAAGCCAAAACCAATCTAATTAAATTGTTCATTACAAGCTCCTTTTTAATGA